GGGTCATATGATGCTGCTAAAAGAACATTATTTTGTGTATTTGGTGTAATGAAATGTGTTTATGCAATTTAAAGTAAAAAAACCCACATTATTTTCCACATTCTATGACTTATACTGTCTTTTTACGCGTTGCATTGCATCGCGCCGCGTAAACATAAAACCATGTCTGCATTTGTGATCGGAGAAATTACAAACTACAAACGATACTCTGACATTTCAAAAACGAGTTTTGAGCAGTATAGTGGCAAATTCTTTAAATATAAAAACGTCTGAGTCTGTGAGTCAGAACAGCCGGCATTGTAGTCTACTCTACCAGGATCAGGAAACAGTCCTCCATAAAATGCGCTGGACACATCGGAATATTTGGGTTGAACTGTTCTGGAACAGTGTTGTAAATACAACTTAACCACTGATTTCTAGTTGTGTCCTCTTTTGGAAGGCCAAACAAAGAAGTTTCGCTTTCACAACGAAACACAGTGTCACACACGGCGGGCTAGAGTGAGCGGCGGCCGGGGGCTAGAGTGAGCGTAGGCCGGCTTGAGTGAGCGGCGGCTGGTGGGCTTGCGGCAACCACATGTGGCGACCCCGTCCACGGTGAAAGCCGATCCGGCGATCCATAGTGTGAAGTTGATATATTTTCTCAGCGACCAGCACGGATCAGCTCCAGGCATGACGAAGCAGATATCGTCCTCTTTTGGAAGGCCAAACAAAGTAGTTTCACTTTCACAATGAAACACACAGCGCCTTCACGACATGGCGGCAACAACAATACTACAGCGAGAATAAAAGTTACGCCTTCTTCCTTTGCGTGAACATTTGGGCGGCGTTATGCAAATCTTCCCACATAGTGACATAGACATGTTGGGGGCGTGTTAGAACGAGCCGTTTTAGGTACGCGTGGTTGACTCTTAACTTTTATAAAGAATATCTCTTTGGATTTGAGACTTTAGTCTTTGCAACTTTACAGATCTTCTTTATGCACCAAGACACTCCAAAGAGAAAGGAAAAATTGAAATTGCATCATGTGACCCCTTTAACACCGTTTGAGAAAAAAAAAATCTGTTCACAATTTACCATCATCAGTGTCTTGGCATAATGTTGACCTCATTTGGTGAGAATGACATGAAATCCTTTGAAAGAGTATAAAAAAAAAGAAAAAAAAGAAAAAAGAACTTACAAATTCCAAACGTTCCAAATTAAATTTAAAATGGCTGACTTCCTGAAGGGCGGAGCTAATGATGAACTAATGTCATTTTGGAAGTTGTTTGGCTTGATGAGAACAATATATGTGCCAACTTTAGTTTAAGCAGTTTAGAACTAGTTTTAGTTTAAAACGTCATGCCTTTTGTAGTTCAAAACTGACCCTCCCACTGTAGGGAGTTTTTTTTTTTTTTTTTAAACGGCATGTTTTGAGAATATTTCCTCCTACACAAAGCACAATACTGGGATCACTTCATTTATTAGACCAGGTTGCTTTCTTTTGGTGATATTTGGCAACTCTTCACCTTTAATGAGAAGAGCATGGTCTCATGTGAGGGAAGAGTGGGAGTAATTTAATAAGGTAGTTTACATATATCTTGTAATATATTTTGTAATCCCGTGATTATTTTACACTAGCGCAAGTGTACCGCATACGTCGTGAAAAGTGAAGCCAAAACATTTCGATCACCATCTGGTTGAGCCATTGTGAGCTTGTGATTGGGTCTGTGGAAGTTTGGGCGGGACTTTGATTCCACGGCTCAACGATCACTACTGCGCAAACTCAGGCTCCAAATCACGTAATTTTCGTAAGATGACAGCGGTCATATTGAGATGTTTTGGCTTCACTTTTCTATAGTGGAAGGCAGTGGAGACGCGCCATCCATATTTTTTTACAGTCTATGCTCTAACCCAGTGGAGACTGAGATGCTGCTGCCACCGCTGAGTTTTTCTTATTTGTCATACTTCTCATAAAAAATAAGACTGGTTTATGTGATCAGCAGATTCAGAGACAATGCATGAAAGCAAGTGGTTTTGAGCAGGTTCCAATCAGTGGCTGAATGTTTGGAGCATTCCAGGAAACTTTTCCAGGTTTTTATGCATTTATTTTTAACCTCAAATCATACTTTACGAAAAGAATGAACTGTTCCATGAACCCTGCTGATTTCGCTGCATGGAATGACGAGAGTGAAACACACATCTGTCTGACACTCATGCATGGTGTGAAAACGCATCAGGGCTGAGCATCATGAATGTGAAGGCAGGAGCAAGTCAGTGGATAAATTCCCTAAAGACAACTGGAATCAATACAAGTTCAGAAACCCAATTTTAGCACTTACATCAAGACTTCGGCCACATTTAGTCTCCACCTGCAACCGTGTCTGAGCATGGCGTCATGGATCACACTTCAGAAGCCTGTGGATGGCACAGACACACAAGACTATATTACAGTTTCATATTTATATCATTGTTATTGATGATCACAGACAGTTTCATGTATCACCAACACAGACACACTTCACGCTACATATTATATAGTTCAAAACACTTGTTGATTGATACTCCATCAGTAATGGTAAAATCAACAACAGCAGTTATACAAAAAAATCAATACATAAAAATCACTCAAACATTTCTCATCTAATGCTCCCAAGAACAAATGATTTGACCCACATTAGCTCTGTATTCGAATTGTATCTCAACAATTGACTGAGAAGTCTCCTGAGCAATAAAAGAGCAGCCCGTGAGCCATATGCAGATCAGCTGGTCGACAGTCTACAGAGCGCTCCGTGATCCTTCAGTGTGCACTCAGTGCCACTCAGGCTGTTTGTTCTGATGTGTTACACAAGGCAGGTTAACACTTTCAGGCTGCTGAGAGCTCTGTTTTAGTCCTGTCACTCAACACATACAAACATACAATACTCATGCAACTTTAATGAGCTCTGCATGTGTGTGTGTGTGTGAGAGAGAGAGAGACATACATTACCGCAGAGGGCAAATAACAGTGCACAACAGAATGTGTGTGTGATACAGGGAACTGGCGACCAGAACTGGGAACACTCCCCCGAAACTCCCAATGTACTTGTTACATCATAAGCAGAACAGAGGCCAAATATTAGTTTGCATGTCAAGGAGTAGGTCTTTTAGTGGACAGATGACTCTTCATGATTTTGCTTAGTAAAATAATGTTTAGTTTTTTTTTATGTAGTAACTGAATTTAAAAGCAATAAACATTGTGAAATAAGTAATAACTGTGAATACAGCAATACATCCTGTGTGCCATGCTTAACACCCTTTAGTCAAGACTATTATCACAATTATTTATTTATATTTATATTAGACAATTATTGATTGTATATTGAAATATGGATGTCACATGACAAGTGGTAATGATAAAACCATCCCTCAACACTGGGCATCTTTTAACATGTAAATATATTTAAATTATCATCTGATATGTAAAGGACATTGAGTATGTCTAAATAATAGAAATTAACTAAGCGTATCTTTATGCTAATGCTTTGCATTAAAAAAAAAAAAAGCATAAATAAACAATTGTTGAAAGGAGTATTTTTAGAGCAGCGAGAATTACTGGACGCTGGATAATTTATCCAACACAACTGACAAACATATTCTCTAAGGTCTACACACAAAACAGGTCTCTGCTTATTGCTTCTGATATTATTTTCATTAAAAACTCACATAATCTTTGTGTCATTATATTTCACTGCTGTTTTTGATGACGAGCAAGTTGCCACAATTTTACTGAAACAATCACTTTGGATTCTAGGGTATTTTTAAAACTATGGTTACCATATGGATCAGTCCATAATCTGAATCTGATCGTCTGAAATCCAGAATATGATTGTTTTATGCAACTACGGTTACCGTATGGATCAGTCCATAATCTGAATCTGATCGTCTGAAATCCAGGATATGATTTTTATGCAACTATGGTTACCATATGGATCAGTCCATAATCTGAATCTGATCGTCTGAAATCCAGAATATGATTTTTTATGCAACTATGGTTACCATATGGATCAGTCTATAATCTGAATTTGATCGTCTGAAATCCAGAATATGATTTTTTTTTATGCAACTACGGTTACCGTATGGATCAGTCCATAATCTGAATCTGATCGTCTGAAATCCAGAATATGATT